CCATAAGCAATTGCTAGTGGGTTTTTCTCAATCGATGGTTTATACACAAAAAATACTATTATCTAGTTAAAAACGAACTTATCGAACTGCTATTCAGAATTCTGTCCAGACAGACAAAATTCTGCCTTAACTCGTCTGAAGATTATTGTTTAATAATTGTACAGAACAATTTAATCATTTAATTACAGTTAAACCCTAAAGTTAAGTATAAGGTTTAAAATTTATAAGAACTAAGGGGAGGAGTAGAACATAGAACTTGTCCCTTTGATTTTCGGATCGAAAATCAATTATAATTTCTCCGGTCATTTTCCTCAACTCTAGCAATGATTCCGGTCACCTTCTTCATTCTCTCTCTCCTTATGCCAAGCCCTCTTTTTTTCTTCTCTCAAAACTCATGTAGAAACCCAAAACCTGGCCTCTTCTTTAATTATTACACATATATATAAGTTACCACAAATCATAACCTAAATCCAACTAACATAATAATAATATATATATACACACACAAATGTACAAACATATATATATATATCATAAAAATCTCTTTCTTTATATAACTAAGACATTCCCCATGGTCCAAATCCTTCTTAACACATGGCCTCCTCCAACTAGTCCAAATCCTTTACTTTGGATTCTACTAACTCTAACCCCAATCCATACTAAATTAAAATAAAATAAATAATTAAATAAACCAAGTAATTACATCTTAAGCAATTAAACACATATGCATAACTTAAATATAACATTTAAATTAAACAAATAATAAAATAATTTAAATTAATCAATTAAATCAAATAACGCAAACAAGATAAATAATGCAATTAAATTAAATCAAATAAGCCTTTAAAATAAATGCAAGAAACAGACATCGGTAGTAGCTTGGGCACTGTTCATCAGAGTTTACTATTTCCTCATCGGTAGTAGCTTGGGTACTGTTCATCAAAGTTTACTATTTCTTCACTATGTTGAGGTCTTCTCTGCATCAGAGTTTGGAGATTCCTCTGAAGTGATGTATTTGCTATGGGATGGCTTTTCTTTTCTCTCTAATCCAAAGGTCTTGTGGGTTGTATGGTCGGATGGGTATCTATGCGTTGTGGGGTGTAACCTCGAGGTTTTTGCACGCTGGACCTATTGATGGCAAACTTTTGCCGATCTTTTCTTTTGATCCGGGTATATATTTCCTTTATTTTCTTATATGTTCTCATGTTTTTTCTGTATTTCTTTGCTTTCAATTCATTCTAGTTGCCTGCCTTTTTCTCTTTCCCTTCATCTGTCTCTTTTCTTTGGGGTTCTATGGCAGGTTAATCGGTTGTAAGTGAAGCCACAAAATCATTTTCCATGGCCTCTGGACCATGTATGTGTTAAGAAACGTGCAAGTTTTTAAAACTTTTGAGGGATTTGCAATCATAGATCTTGATTCATCACAAAGAGATAAGTTTTATGTAAAGAAAAATAAAAGATGATGTATAATTCAATAAACAGATTGAATACTTACATCAAAGGTCTGAATAAACCTTTTAGTCTTTCCTCTAAAGTGAATGTTCTCACTTATTGTAGATCCCTTTAGCAAGATCCTTTCTCCTTCTTCTTGATTATAATATTCCCTTTAGGAATCACCAATATGCCTTGATGAATGACCTTGGAATCTAGGCTTGTGGTAGCCTCCTTTAGAAGAGAAAACAAAACCCTAAAATCTAGAGAGACAAAGTGTATTCTTTTTTCTTGTTCTAAAAGTCACCCCTAAAATATACATGAATTTATGTATATATAGGCAAAATAAAAATAAGAATAAGGAAATAATAAATTATTCTCCATCTCTAATTCAACTTTCTCAATTCTAACAGAACTCCAATATCAACTTGGGCTATTGGTGAGAATCCTTTTGGGCTTACTATTTTCTTGGCTCCTATAAATTAATAATTGGTCCGGTCCATTAAACCATGGATCCAATTTAATTAATTCATAAATTAATTTCTACTCCACTAAAAGAAATTAATTGCACTCCAATTAAATAGTAAATAACCTCTAAGTCAATGTAACACTTTGACCCCTCTATGCTTAATTATTTATCGGATAATTAAACCCATCAATCCAACAACATAATTAATATAATTATTTTGTTACCTTTGATTATTTCCGGCTCGATCACAATAAAATATTTATTTGACAAAAATAATAATTTACTAAATAAATATATATAGAAAACGTTTTTCTAAAACATACGAAGGCCTTCGAATTTAATTTGTGATCAACCATAATCAAAACAAAATAAATACAAATAGTACTGATGCAAATATTGAGAATATAGACCTCTAACTATTAATTATATAACTACCCAAAGTGTCGATCTAAGGATCCCGAGGTATCCGCCGAACAAATCAAAGTAATTATTAATTAATAAAAGAGTCTATATTTCTCTCATGCTTAAGAGTCAAAAGTCATGACTGTGATAGAGAGCAATTGCATACGATAGCTCTCGCAATATATCTCAATCTATCGTGGACTAGGTTCAAGTCTTAACTAATTAAATGTCCATCTATAATTATCGACTTTAAACCATTTATGATTACTAATTTATAACATAGTATTAATTGCCATTACATACATAGATAAATATATCTTGTAATCTAGTGGACATAATCAATTCCATAATGAATCGAAAAATAATACATTACATTCACCAATTGTATAATGCTTTAATAATAATATTCAGATAAGGAACCATGACTTTTACAATCCAAAATTAGAATTTGCTATGCTAGGGCACACATATCCTAACAGTATGGGTGTTGCAAGACTTCTTAGTACGGAAGGCAAGCTTTTGGGGAATGAATCTTCAGTTAATCTCGTTGTCATTGGTAGTGCTTCTCTCGTGTTGTTGGAAACTCTGTTCATGGAAAATCGCCAATGAAGCCTTCGTCTTTGTTGTGTTGGTTTCACACGCTCCAATCATGTAATAGTCCACGCTTCTGAGTTTGTAATCCACGCATTGTTGGGCAGCTCTGGATTGAACAAACTCAACCTTTTGCGAGGCAACCATTTCTAGTTGATCGGAAATGGAATCCGAAGAATTCTCTGATTGGTGAGTTTCTCAACGATCGTCGTGGGTTTTATGTTGGCAATGCTATTCCAGTTTTTTTTTTTATTTTTTTAACAAAATAAGAAGGGTTAAAAGTTAGATTAGTAAATGTAAAGAGTCGAAACCTGTCATTTCAAAGTTAAACACTAATTCACTGAATTATCGAGGCTCTACCTATTCCAATTCACATCCCATAAAAGTTTCCCTCTTTGCCGGCTGAGCGATGATGGGGTCTCATTCTCTAGGCGTCCTGAGGATGATGCGTGGTTAAGCAACCATGATTGTGTTTTCCTTTTTGTGTGTTCGCCACGTGGGAGTGGAGAATTGGAGTCGGTGGACTACTGTAGAAGCTGTAGGAGGGCCCAGTTTTACATAGACCAGATGGGCTTCCTTCGTTGTGTCGAGTCGAATTGATGTCATTGAGCCTCGCCAAAAGGTGGATTATGTGCGTCATTCAAAACACTTTGTTCCTGTGCAAGTTAGCATAATGTCACGGGCCTAGAGATTTGGCGCAGCGGCACGGCCCGTGCGGCACCAAGGCGTTGCTTCAGCTCGCGCAAGCGCCCTGGTCAGCCACCACGACCTGCCCTCCCAAGGATACATGCTGACTGGTTTCGGCCTGCCATGGCCTCGTCAGGGGAACGGCTCCAGCTCCCGACCAGTTTGTGCAGGGATGGCCAACTCCCTTCTTCATAGTCAAGTCCAAGACTAGCGACAAGCACCTCGAACTGAACCGAGTCGACCTGCCTGAACTCTGAAGAGGTACCATCCTGTGCTCCTGCACGCCCCTTCCCTGGAACCATTCCCAGTCAAACTCTGCTCTTTGCCAACCAGCATGCGTGTCTTCCATCCTCCAAGCGTCTTAGGAATCGGATCGTGACATTCTCCCCCACCCAAATCCTGCGACGTCCTCGTCGCAGTGCGGCGCTTCACTACTGCGTCCACTCCCTTCCAAAGTCTGCCTCCATGCGGTATGCTCGCCTTCCCACCATCGCTTCCTTGTGCAGCTCCCTGCACTGCACTCGCCCAATGATAGGCCTCGGACCAAGGGGACGTCCACTCCTCAAGGACGTGACTCTTCTCCGTCATGCCGCCTCCGCGACATCCCGAGCAAGCAATGGCCTTCTGCCGACTTGATGCTCGCCCTTCACCATGGTTTGCATCACCCAAGGACTAAGCACGAACTTTGGTGCGCGCGGCCCTCCGGCCCTTCAATGCGCAACTTCAACGGACGCTTCTTCCTGGGGAGATGGAGGCTCTCCCCCCCAACTGCATTGATTCCTCCACATCGACGCAACTTCAATGCACCGTCTTCATTCTCTGACCCCTCCCGGACCGACAAGGGGGCATCCCACCGTGCTTTACCCCAAGTCCTGCTCTGATACCATTTGTCACGGGCCTAGAGATTTGGCGCAGCGGCACGGCCCGTGCGGCACCAAGGCGTTGCTTCAGCTCGCGCAAGCGCCCTGGTCAGCCACCACGACCTGCCCTCCCAAGGATACATGCTGACTGGTTTCGGCCTGCCATGGCCTCGTCAGGGGAACGGCTCCAGCTCCCGACCAGTTTGTGCAGGGATGGCCAACTCCCTTCTTCATAGTCAAGTCCAAGACTAGCGACAAGCACCTCGAACTGAACCGAGTCGACCTGCCTGAACTCTGAAGAGGTACCATCCTGTGCTCCTGCACGCCCCTTCCCTGGAACCATTCCCAGTCAAACTCTGCTCTTTGCCAACCAGCATGCGTGTCTTCCATCCTCCAAGCGTCTTAGGAATCGGATCGTGACAATAAGCCCAGTGGATCATATTGTGAATACTACTATTCATGTGGCTATGCTTTGGGGCAGTACTCGGAGTGGTCCTTGTTTGTATCCTTATGGCTATGTATGTCTGCAGGATGATTGTAAACATCGGTCTACGCAGTGTTCTCCTTGTTTGCCATGAAAAAAAAATAAATGACTGGTTAATATATATTCGGGTTAAAAAAACAAAAAAAGAAAAGAAAAGAAAAGAAAAAGAAGAAAAGTTTCAAATGCAAATGAAAATAAAAAACCCTATCCACCTCCACAGTTTCTTTTTTTTAAACCCCTGCGACGAGCTCTCTCTCCGCCACCGTCTATGGCTTCGTAACTATCCTCTCAACCCATCTTCAGAGACACCACCGTTTCTCTATATAAATCCCACAAAAAAGAAGATGATGTCAACAGCTTCAAGATTATTCTCACTCGTTGGAGCCTCAATCTTCCGCTACAACACAAACCTCTTTCCTTCTTCTTCTTATTCTTCCCAAACCCTCCGTTTCCACCTTTACAGGTCTCCTTCTTCCTTTTCTTTTTATTCTTCTGCTGCAACAGTCGATTCTGTCAGTACCCACAACAGAGAAACTTCTGATTCTGATTCTTCTTCTGATTCTGATGCTGATCCTCCGCACCCGTGGCCTGAATGGGTCACTTTGGTCGACCGCTTGAATGCCAAAGGCTACTTGGTTCAAACTCCTTCCTTGTTGCCGACACCGGTGGTGGTGGAAGACGACGGCGATGGTGGTGGTGAAATTGCAATGAGTGATGTGATTTCTTACAAGGACCTCAACACCTTGCAGGACGCTTGTCTAAGTTTTGCTCATGAACGCTTTGACATTTTCAAGTATGGGTTCTTTTGCCTATTTGTTGTTATCCATTTGTTTCTTCAAAAGGGTTCTTTGCGTATTCCCCATTTGTTGTTATCCATTTTGTTTATGAGAAAAATCGAATAATTTGAAAGTTTGTGAGTCCTATGGTTGTTGCTTAGGTTTTCCTTAAACTGAGAAACTCAATCGTATATTTATTTCACAAACAGGGATTAATTCTTAAAATTTTAATTTTATGTAGAATTATGACTGTAACTTACATGGTTGTATATGTCATTTTAAAATTCGACATTCTTTCTCTGCCGTGTAATGCAGATCATTGCCTCAAAAGGATATTAAGACTGTGGTTGAGGCCGGATGCCCTAATCTTTTCCGAAAATCTGTTAATTCAGCAAAAAGGTTGAGAGCATACCTTAATCTCGAAGAAGCAGATGTAAGTTCCTCCATTACTTTTTCTTTTCCCCTCTTTTAAGTATGTGTCTTTTTTGCTTCATTGATGAAAAGAGATGTGCACTACCATATATTGTTGTTATCTAGATCATTGACAATTGTGATTTTTGGTCTTATTGAAATACCAAGTACAGGTATGTGCTGCTTGTAATATTCGAGGATCATGTGATAGAGCATATGTTACACTAAAGGAACCCGGAACACCGGCACGCACAGTGGATATTGTGCGGATTGTATTGTTCTATGCACTAGATCCACTTGTTATTGAAGGAGGAGAAAAGCCTCCTGGTAGACAACTTGTTGAATTGTCAGTGAGAAGTTTGATTTCTAACTTGATTGAGTTGAGCGAGACGACCCTTGATCACACACTTCCAAAACCTGCTGGAAAAGTTCCCCAGCAAAAGAAACAATCCACGCATGATGAATTATCTCAAGAGGTTGAAATGAAGAGAGGAGATTGGATTTGTCCCAAGTAAGTTGCCTTAGAAGTCTTCCCCCTCCCTCTTATCTCTCTTGAACTTGAATTTATTTATTTATTTTTGATAATCTGAACTTGAACTTATTATCTGAATTTTTTTTTTTTTTTAGTTCATTTTTCATAGCTTGGTAAATGATCTTCACATAGCAGGACTCCATTTGCTTGGGTAAATGCCATTCAGGCCCTAATAGATACAAAATATCTGGACAATTTTGGAATTGAAACCGCGAAGGTAGGCTAGTAAGGAAGGAAACTTACTTAAAAGAACTTAAAAGGATGTGGCACCACTCTTTTGTGATTCGGACCGATAAGGAAGTTGTCGATTGAAAATTTCTAAAATTGGAATGAATTTCTTGTACTTATCTGTTTCTGATTACATTCCAAGTAGTCCAGACAGAGGCAAGTTATCCTTTGTTTTAGAGGACTACCTTGAGTGGCTTTGATTTTGGAAATTGGAATCCTTGTGACGGATTAACAAAGATTTTAGCAGGCACTATGACTAGATAACAGTGTAGGAGATTTGTAACTCTGGTTCTTTGTGGATTCTATTGTGTGATGCAGTGATTGGAAAGAGATGTGCTTGTTAGCTAGAGAGGTTGTAGAGCAGGAGGTCACTTAACTATGTTTGGTGCAGCATTTAGATGAGAAGAATCAGAGCCTTAGAGGTCCTTTGAAGGAGTGGAATCTTCTATTTAGGTTCTTCAGCGTAATATGTGGAGTACCCTATCTGGGAAATTTGTCTTTGTTAACAAACTATTTTTTATAGTTTATTGGAAACTGGAGAGATGGGAGATTAGTTTTGTATAACCTGTTGCTGTTTACATGTTTCATACATGGGTGCAATTTCTTTGGGACAGAGGATTCTTTGCCCAATTAGTAAGTTTATTCAGAGATGAGAGGGTTGTTATAGAATAATCAGTATGTATTGCTAGAATCAAAGGAATAATCTGCCTCAGTTTGTTTTGCATCGTATAAATTGCTTACATAATTAAAGTTCTTGGACACAATCCTGGGAAATAAGACAAGAATTCGGCAAGGGTTGCGTCTTTTGATTGAGAAAAGTAAGAAAGGGGATCAAAAACTAATGTGAAAAGGTATTAACCCAACAGAAAGTCCTCACAGAACTGGACAAGCAATCTAAAAACTTTCCTATTGTGATGATGGAAGAAATTGGATAATGATTTTTTGGGGTTGATCTACGTTAGAAAAAATGGAAAAAGAAAGTTCCACGTGCCTTTTCTTGTTTTTCTTAATACTTGGTGCTTGTGGTTATTACATGTAGGAGACATCCTATATTGGATTTTGGGGATGGCAAAACTGTCTTGGCTTAAGATAGAGTATTTTAAACCAATGAGAGCAGTCACCGAAGCAAGTATTAAGAAGTTTCAATAGATGCCAACCATTGTGCACAAGGGTTGTTAAGTGTATACCGTGATTTGGTACTCCTAGGGATCTTTAGTGGGCAAATCTAGTATTGGTGTGAAGAGCTGCAAGTAGAAGGTGTTGTATATTTTAGGGGTATTTCAGAATACATGAGCTTGCTTTTTGATGTAGTGGATCAATGAAAGCAATTAAAATAATTAAGAATAGCAACGTATTCTTTTAAACACTTGAATCCATGAGAAGAGGTTGGGAGAAACTCTTGATTTTCTGATAATAATAAAAGAAATAATTAATTACTAAATTATTACAATAACATGTATTTATATAGGCCTAAACAACCTAAACTATTAAGGAAATTAAAACAGTGGAAACTTTCTAAAACAAACAATGAAAACTTTGAAAAACTGACCCTAAACTATTTAGGAAAGTAAAACAATGGAAACTTCCTAAAACAGACTCTTAGCTAGAAAATACGCTGGAAAACACTATTCATGCACTGTTCACATGTACTACATCATGTTCCCATTCTTTAATAGAACTCGCCCTTGAGTTCAAAACTGGTAGAGGGCGCATGTTGTTCAACTCGATCTCAGATTTTAAAAGTGCTAGAAATCCCTGTCCCTGGTGGGAAGTCAACAACATAGGCATTATCATTGATGCACTTCAAAATCGCGCATGGCCCAATTTTCTTCTTTTGAAATTTATTATAAGTTCCTACCGGAAACCTATCTTTTCGAAGGTGCACCATAACCAAATCCCCGATGCTTATCTATAGCAGCCTTGTACTTAGCAGATTTCGGTTGTCAGATTTGAGACAGGTAGTCAAAATGATCATTTCGGTAGCAGATTTGTGGTTTCAGGGCTTCTTTTGTTTTTTTGGGGTGGGGGCCGATGCCTTACCTATTTAGTGTTTTCCTATGTTACATGGACTCTTCAAAAGTAGTGCACTACCCGTGTTGGACATATATTGCTTGGACATGGGTGTAGGATATGTGTCCGACACTTTTGAGTGGACACGTAATTAAAAAGCATATCCAATCATTCAATTATATTATATTATTACTTTAAAATGAGTTAAATGTTTATATTGAACACTATATTAGATAAAACATTACTTTACTTTAGAAAATAAAATAAAATAATAAAATAAAATAATTACTTAGCAGTGTTCATGTGTCCTTCTGTTTGGAGATTTGACACGTCCGATGCATGGATACATACCGGTACTCGAGTCCATGTAGCATAGGTGTTTTCACAATGGCCATTATTAACTTAAAAGACGTGTATTATACATAAATACTTGATATTACACATATAATGGTCTACATTAATTTGTTTTTATTAAAAAGAAAAGTAATTCATCATATACTTTTTTTTGATAAGTAAAATGTATTAGAAAACATTCAAACGGGGAACGCATCCCAAGAACTATACAGAGGCCGAAGCTAGAGACAAGGTCCTAAGGACCCACCGAACCCAAAAAGTCAATAAACTCATCAATGGATATACAATTTCTCCCCAAAACCCAATAAAAAGAGAGCTAATAATATGAAACTTCAAAGCCCCTAAGGAAGATTACTCCCCTTCAAAAGATCTTCTATTCTGCTCTTTCCATAAGCACCACCAAACACAAAGGGGTACTACCCTCCAACACTCACGGGTGTGGGCTCCCACACTATAGACTCGCCAAGTGTCAATGGACACCAAAAAGGCCAAAGATAAGGCTCCAACAGTTGTGAGCTACATGGCAATGCAAAAGAAGGTGATCCGCAGACTTGCCACTCCTCTTGCACAAACAACACCAATTGATTGTAATTTGTCTTCTCTTTCTCAAATTATCTAAGGTTAAAATCTTGTCCCAAACAGCAGTCCAGACAAAGAAGGCCACTCTGAGGGGAGCGTTGGTACGCCATATCGTCTTCTAAGAGAAATTAAAATCATGAAAATCAGAGAGACAACGGAATAGGGAATGAACCTTGAACCTCCCCTGAGAGGGAGACACCTAAACCAGAGAAGTCCGTGCCACTACCATCTACCCCCTGTCCGTACAACAACTCCAACAAACCTGCAACCTCATCCAAGTCCCAATCTTGAAAGGAACGCCGAAAACGCACATCTCACGCAAGCATACCATTATTGAGCCAATAACAGTCGGCCACCAAAGCATGTCTATCCATGGCAATCCGGAAAATTCTGGAAAAGGAACAAGCCAACAGGCGATCATCACACCATAAATCCTCTTAGAATTAAACTCCCCTGCCATCCCGTACTTTGAATCTAATATGCTTAGAAAATTCATTCCATCCCTTACGTTTGAATTTCCAAACACCCACACCTCTAGCGAATCTGACCGGATCCGAGGACTAACCACCTCTCTCCTCCCCGTAGTGATACAAAATAACCTTCCTCCAAAGCCGATGGCGCTCACTTCCAAATCTCCACAACCACTTTCCTAAAAGAGCCCTGTTGAAAAGGGCCAACATCCTAATACCCAAACCTCCCAATGGAATTGGCCTGCACACTTGATCCCAATGAACAAGATGATATTTGAACTCCTCCCCTCGTCCACCCCAAAGGAAGTTCTGTTGAAGTCTGTCAATCCTTTCAACCACCGAGGCCGGAATATGAAAAAAGGGAGAGAGAGTAAGTAGGGAGGCTCGACAGCCTACTCTTCAAAAGAGTAACCTTCTCGTCCTCTGAAAGATACTGCTTCTTCCAACCAGCCAGTCTCCTTTCAAATCACTCAATCACAGGATCCCAACCTCCCACCCTCCTTGACGAAACACCCAACGGCAAACCCAAATAGGAGATAGGAAAAGAGCCCGCCCCACACCTAAGAACTGCAGTTAGAGATACGGTGTCCTGAACCTCCCCTACAGGGATAAGCACGCTCTTTCCTATGTTAATTTTCAAATCAGAAACTGCTTGAAAACAAACCAAGACCCACCTCAAATATCTCAACTGGGTATGTCAGCATCATAGAAAACCAAGGTATCATCCGCAAACAGTAAATAAGAGATCTCCATCTGATGACCCAATTCTCTACTGACCCTAAAGCCCCTGATAAAACCCAGATCCACGGCCCTTCCTATCAACCTACTACCGAGAGCCTGATAATAATAAGGAATAAAAATGGAGATAGAGGATCGCCCTGTCTCAAACCCTGAGAGCTACCAAAGAAACCCGTAGAAGATCTGTTGACCAGAACAGAGAATCTAATCGAGGAAATGCAAGCCTCAATCCACCTCCTCCATCTCTCTCCAAAACCCAACCTCGTATGCATATACAACGAAAAGCTCCAAAGCTCCAACTAACGTGATCATACGCCTTCTCGATATCAAGCTTGCACAGAACTCCCGGATCACCACTGTTCAGCCTAGAATCGATACACTCAATGGCAATAAGAACGGTGTCAAGAATCTGTCGACCATCAACAAAAGCGTTCTGAGACTCTGAAAATCATCCCTCATTCTAAAAGCAAGGACTTTAACAATAAGTTTATAAATACACCCCACAAGACTTATTGGTCTAAAATTTCTATACATTAGAAACTCCACCCTATCGGCATTAGCGAGCCTATGAAAGAATTTCGTATTGCGGTCTCCCTCTTTGAGCCATAAAGCCCGGGATTTCTGTCGCCATGAAATTTCCTCTATAATGGTAATCTCCGCCAACTCCGCCCGCCACTCTGCTCTCCGGGTTCACTGAAAATCCACAATACCGCCCACCTCTTCCAACCTATCAATCTCAGCAATATCAGCAAGCGCCCTATTCTTCCTCCATTCTAAATTCCCGAGCACCTCCTTATTCCATATTTTGAGCTTAGACTTCAGGAAGCGTAGTTTTCCAGCTAAAACATAACTCTGAGAACCAACCAATGGAGCCTCTTCCCATCATGACCGAACTCTCCCCTGAAAGTTATCTGCTTTTTTTTTTTTTTTTTTTTTTTTTTTTGATAAGTAAAAATATATTAGAAAAACGTTCAAAAGGGGAACGCATTCCTAATACAAGAGAAAAGATCTAAGGACCAATAGAATCCAAGAGATCAAAGAAATCATCAATCGAGGAGCATGTACTTCCTCTAACATAAAAGAATAAAGAACGAAGAATATGAATTTTTAAATTAGCTAAGGACAATTCTTTTCCTTCAAAGGATCTGTTATTTCTCTCACGCCACAAACACCACCAGACACAATGAGGAACAATCTTCCAATAAGCACGAGCTTGTTTCTTAACAGGACAGCTTTTCCAAGCGTTAATCAATTGAGAGGAGTGCTTAGGCATTACCCAAAAAATGCTGAATATGCTGAAAATAAAACTCCAACAACCAAACGCCACAGGACAATGCAAAAGAATGTGATCCACGGATTCACTATCATCTTTGCATAAACAACACCAATTAACAATGATGTTGCCTCTCTTTCTCAAATTGTCCAAAGTCAAAATCTTCCCCAATGTAGCTGTCCAAACGAAGAACGTGATTCGAAGAGGGGCTTTAGAGCACCACACGGACTTCCAAGGAAACTCGGAACCAACGAAATTGGATAAATGAATAAACATAGAGTGGACATCATACCGAGCATGAGCCAAAGGAACCCACAAAATATCATCACACCCTCTGCCAATATCCTTCTGCCTATACAAAATATCCAAAAAAGCAGAGACTTCCTCCATTTCCCAATCCTGAAAAGACCGCCTAAACCGCACATCCCACGTAACTCCATTGTTATCAAGATGATAACAATCAATCACGAAAACATGCTTATTAGTTGCAATGCTATAAAGCCTAGGAAATGAGTGTGAAAGCAACTGGTCGCCACACCAAAGATCCTCCCAAAAACGAACATGCCTGTCATTACGAACTTTGAATCTAATAAGAGTAGAGAAGACATCCCATCCCTTCCGAATAAATTTCCACAAACCAACGCCTCTCGTAATAGTGACTGGAAGAGATGACCAACCCCCACTCCCCTCACCAAAACGACACGAGATAACTCTTCTCCATTGACGATGTCGTTCCCTTCCAAATCGCCATAACCACTTTCCTAAGAGAGCATGATTAAAAGGAACAATTTTTCGAATGCCTAACCCTCCGAATCTCAATGGTTGGCAAACTTGATCCCAATTAACAAGATGATACTTAAACTCCTCTCCCATTCCACCCCACAGAAAATCCCTCTGAATTTTTTCAATTCTATCAGCAACAGAACATGGAATTTGAAACAAAGATAAAAAATAGGTAGGAAGGGATGAAAGAGTACTCTTTATAAGTGTGACTTTCCCACCCTTAGATAGATACTGATTTTTCCATCCTGCTAATCTTTTCTCATATCTATTAATCACTGAATCCCAATTCCCAACCAGAGTAGAAGAAACTCCCAAAGGCAATCCTAAATAAGGAAGAGGAAAAGAACCAACTCCGCACCCTAAAACAGCAGCTAAGGAGGAAATATCTGGAACATCCCCCACTGGAACAAGCACACTCTTTCCGACATTAATCTTAAGCCCAGAAACTGCTTGGAAGCAAGCAAGAGTGCACCTCAGATATCTGAGTTGAGAAATATCAGCATCACAAAATACCAAAGTATCATAAGCAAATAAAAGATGGGAAATCTGGATCTGATGATCAACATCTCTGCCAACTCTGAACCCCCTAATGTAACCCAAATCTTCCGCTTTTCTCATTAATCTAGTCAGACCTTCCATAACGATGAGAAAAAGAAAAGAAGATAATGGATCACCTTGTCGCAGACCACGTGAGCTAGCAAAAAAACCCGCAGGAGAGCCATTCACAAGAACAGAAAACATAACTGATGAGATACAAGTGTCAATCCATTTTATCCATCTATCACCAAATCCCATCCTCCGAAGAAGATACAAAACAAACTTCCAATTAACATGATCATAAGCTTTCTCGATATCAAGCTTACACAAAACGCCAGGAACCCCACTTCTTAATCTAGAGTCAACACATTCCCCAGCAATAAGAACAGAATCCAAAGCATTTCGTCGCTTACTACGCCCTTCCTCGTCTCTGGGTGCCTAGGTATACCCATGATCCAACCCATCCTCCTTTCGAGCAGATTGACTCATCAAAAGCTGGAAACAAGAGCCCTCACATATTCTCGAATCTAAACGGGGATCTTCGAGCTCTCAAACCCCCACAATCCAAAACCAACGAAATGTGATCCGAAGTCACCCTAGCCAACGCTGCCTGAACAGCATCCGGAAATTCCTCCGCCCAGTCCACTGTAATCAAGAATCTATCCAACCTAGACAGAGTAGGCGACTCCTTGCCACTAGACCACGTGAAAACCGCACCCTCCAAAGGTAAATCAATAAGATGATGACCATCAATAAACTCAAAAAAATTGTGACATAGCCATTGTCCATCTCCCACCGATAGATCTCTCTGTCGAGGACCTTACAACATTAAAGTCCCCACCCACACACCAAGGAAGAGACCACAACCCCTTCACAAAACTGAGCTCCTTCCAAAGTAACTGTCTCTCACCATCATTCATTGGCCCATAAGCCTTGGAAAAATCCCATCTAAAACCATCCTCCTCCAAAGTAAACACGCAAGAGATAGAGAACCTCCCTCTCCAAATGTCCACACGAGTCAGCCATCTCCTATCCCACATGGCAAGGATACCACCAGAAGATCCTGAAGCATCCCAATGCCACCCATTCCACAAACCTACCTCACCAAAGGCTTCTGGCCACCCTATCCGACATAGAAGCAATCCTAGTTTCTTGTAAGCACACCACATGAGCCCCTCACTTCTCACCGCCAACTTTATCACCTTCCTCTTGTCTGTGTCATTTAGACCACGGAAGTTCTACGAAATAATTCAGAGCTTCATAAGGAAACAAAGTCATTCACCACCCCTCCACTCCCTCCTTACCCTCATAATTCATGTAACAAATAAGATTCTTCACCTCCCTCTCCCCTTTCCATGAAGTGGGATTCTTCCTTCTATCACCCCTCCTTTTGTACTTCTTCACCTCCCCTGCTATCCCCTCCACAGTAGCATGAAGAAGCGAAATAGCCTGTTCCTTTTTTCCCTCAAAAGAGACACGCAGCAGTTCACTCGGGATCCCAATATTATCCTTCACCCACTCCTTTTACCTAAGTCAACATTCTCTTGCACCAAACAATCCGACTCCAAACCTTCTGGTCTCACCACAGCCAAAGGATCAACCACCCCCAAATTAGGATGACCCTCCCCTGCCCACAATATTACATCCAGAGAGGCCCAACTTGCTGGTCCCTCACCCCACTTCCCTCACAACACTCCAGCCCCTCCACATCATCTGCACACGACATCCAATTAATGTGGTCCGAATTTGGTGCTGGGTCGAGCTTTGTGTGGGCCTAAGCCCACCAAAGCCCCGAGGAAATTTTTTGACCCTTTTTGGCTTGTTGGTTGTGGACCCTAATTAGTACTCTTGTAACCCGATATATAAGGACGCTTAGGGTTTGGAATGAATGATCTAGAGACATTGAAAATCGTACATAGAGAGAGTGAGGGGCTGAAACTTGTAATTTTCGATTTTACATATAGTGAAGACTTTTGCCGGATCTCCATCGTGGACGTAGGCTTTGCAGAACCACATATAAATCTTTGTGTGGTGTTTTTATTTTTCTGTTGTTTTTCGTAATTGTTGTTTGTTGTTTGGTTCGCTGCGTTTGTCATAACATAAAATTATGAGATTTGTTTTGGAAAATTGTTAAAAAATTCAGATATAAATAAATTCTTTATACTGCACGTATGCTACCCTACATAAAATGTTTTTGATAAGAAAAAAGAAGAAAATATGAAAGTTTCACATATATTCAATAAAGTCCATTAAATAAATATTAGTGAACTTTATTTCTGACAACACTTTAAAGTTTAATGTTGAGGCCATTTCTTATTCCAGATAATTACATATTTATTGGATTATGGAGTAAAAATTTATGTTTTGGTTTGATTTGGCCAAGATTTGTGATACTAAATGGAATTAACAACCACAATGGCTAATATTTTTACATTCCCTACGTTACAAACCGCTTTGATGAGATTGCACCTGTGTAAGCAGCCATGCCTGCATTTTAATTCCCTGTTTGAAGGCTTTGTTCTTCAACGGGGTAATAATCTTTTTAAAATAAGTTTTGTTTATTTGGTCCAAATAAATGATGGGGCCAAATATGCCTCATTTGGAAGCCAAGGACCATTTGTTGAAGAACATTCCTTTATATTCTTGGTGATGAGTAACTTTCTCGAATTATGAATATCTGGTTATTGACAAAAGGTGGTCTAAATTCAATGTTGTCCAAAGATATCTTCCATCTGCCCAATTCTTTGCTCTTGTTGTAATTGTAATCATCTGTTGCCTGCATTTGAAATCTGTCACATTCTCTTTGCTGGTCCATTAATTGACGCCTTCTTTGGTTTTTTGTTGTAGATGCAATTTCATGAACTTCTCTAGAAATATACAATGTATTAAATGTAACGAAGGCGGCCCTAAAAAAGTTGGTGCAGATGTTGAAATGAAGAAAGGAGACTGGGTCTGCTCTGAGTAAGTTCTCAACTATCTTAATAGGACCTCCTATGAATCAACCTTTTTACCAGTACTGCTTTATCCTTAATAATTAGCGGCATCATCTTTTTTTTGATAAGTAATAATTAGCGCCATCATCTTGTTGGAAAAACAACTTGCATTTCGATCTTTCTTACTTAATATCTCAATATAACATGTGCTATACTTTGCAGTAATCCAAATACTGCTTACATATCTTGATTATTAGTGGGAAGTGTTAGTTATATCCACTGCAAAAAGGTTTTCGGGAATCTCGAGTGGAGGAAGAGTAGGGCTTTGGTGGAGATTGCAGAGATTGATCGTCGGGAAGGTAGGGGTGGCATTGATAATGAGCAGAGAAGTAGGAGAGTGGCGTGCCAGGGTGAGATTGCTGTGTCGGAGGAGATTTCGTGGAGGCAGAAATCTAGAGCGTTATGGCTTAAGGAGGGGGATAGGAACACTAAGTTTTTCCATAGGTTGGCTAATGCTCATAGGAGGGGTAATCACATAGGGAGGCTTACTGTGGATGGGGTGGTCTTGAGTTGGGAGGACGATGTTTGTAGGGGGATCGCTCGATTTTATCATAGGTAATATGTTATTTACTGAGCCTGTGCCTACGAGACCCCGGCTGGATTGGCTTAATTTTGATAGGATTTCTGTTGAGGAGGAAGTGCTGAAGGCATTGAGAAATTTTAATGGGGATAAAGCTCCGAGTCTGGATGGTTTCACTATGAGGTTTCTCTTGGAGACTTGGGACATGGTCAGGGTCGAGGTGTTGTGTACTTTTCATGCTGTTTATACTCAGGGGAGATTTGAGAAATCTCTGAATGCATCGTTTATAGCCCTCATTTTGAAGAAGGGTGGACCCGTAGATGTGAAGGACTTTAGACCTATTAGTTTGTTGGGATGCATATATAAACTAATAGCCAAAGTTCTTTCTTTGAGGTTGAGGGTGGTTTTGGATGAGGTTATTTCGGAATCTCATAATGCTTTCATAGGAGGGCGTCAGATTTTGGATGTCCTTATTGCTAGGGAGTGTATGGATGATAGATTGAGGAGTGGGTTCCAGCGGGTCTTGTGTAAGTTGGATGTAGAGAATGCTTATGATCATGTTAGTTGGAGTTTTTTGCTTACTTGATGGTAAGGATGGGTTTTGGGGGAAAATGGAGGAATTGGATTGAGTTCTGCATTTCTTTAGCGAGATTCTCGGTGTTTGTGAATTGTGAATGGGTCTAAACTGGTTTCTTTGGTAGTTCGCGAGGTTTGCGTCAGGGAGATCCATTATCCCCACTTCTGTTCATCATTGTAATGGAGGGGCTTAGTAGATTGATGGGGATGGCTGTGGAGGTGGGCTTCATCAGGGGTTTTAGGGTGGGAAGGGATGTTATGCATAAGCTGGAGATTTCTCACTTGTTGTTTGCAGATGATACTCTTGTCTTTTGCGAGGCTGAGTTGTCTCAGATGAGATATTTGAGGTCAGTGTTGATATGTTTTCAGGTAGTCTTGGGTTTGAAAGTGAATGTGGGGAAGAGAGCTTTGATTCCACTGGGTGAGGTTCCGGAGATTGAGGAATTAGCTTCTGTTATTGGTTGTGGAGTTAGTTCTTTTCCGATCTCTTACCTGGGTTTGCCTTTGAGGGTAGGTGCTTGGGATCCGGTGGTGGAGAGGGTGGCTATCAAAAGGGGGGAGGGTTACCTTGTTGAAAAGCACTTTGTCGAGCATTCCCACATATTATTTATCCCTTTTTTAGATTCCGTCCTCGGTGCTCGGCTCTGTTGTCTATACCTGGAGCTGTCAGTGTTTGGAAAGACATTCGGAAGGGATGGAATGAGTTGCTTTGGGAGGATGTATGGTATGGAGATCGCACGTTAGCATGCTCTTTCCCTAGACTGTTTAGGATTGCGGTGGATAGGCATGCCTGGGTGGCTGACTGCTATTGCCTTGATAGCGGGAGACCGGTTTGGGATGTGCTGTTTCAGCGATCTTTTCAGGATTAGGAGATGGATTATGTTTTTGGCTTTTTAGAGTTGTTGTATAGCCAGGTGATCTGGGGGAGGAGGTAGGGATTCTCTTGTTTGGATTCCTTCTGCCAGGGGAATGTTTAGTGTGAGATCTTTCTTCGGATGCCTTTTGGACTCGGATGGGGTGGTATTTGACGCTGGATAATTTGAGAAGGAGAGAGCTTATCACGGTGAATTGGTGTTGCATGTGTAAGTGCAATGGTGAGTCGGTTGATTATCTTCTTTTGCATTGTCTAGTGGCGGTTGATTGTTGGAACCTTTTGCTAGGTTTATTTGGAGTTTATTGGGTCATGCCTAGATCTACGAGAGGTTTGATAGACACCTGGAGAGTGGGTTGGGTGGGAGCACAAGCTTGAGGGTTATGGAGGATGGCGCCTCTATGTCTTTGGTGGTGTTTGTGGAGGGAGCGGAAGAGACGATCCTTTGAAGGAGAGGAATCTTCCATCAGTGTTTTGAAATATTCTGTTATTAGTCTTTCTGTTTTTGGGGTTCGGGTAGACTCTGCTCTTCTACTGAGGAGACTGTTGAGTTTTTGGCTTCCCTGGGGCTTAGGGTACCCAAGTTTTGGTGGTTTTGTAGGGACGCGTTCTACTTTTGAACGCTTTTTTAATGAATTGCGTATTTATCAATATATATATATATATATATATATCCACTGCAAAATGGATACAGAAGAATAGTGAATTTGGTGAAAAAGATATATTTGTCACCAAGTAAATATGATAAACCTGAGAAAAAATGCTGGAGTGTAATTAAAAAGTGCAGAAAAGATTAGGTATGTCATGTTTGTGCTTAATGTTCTTCTGTTATTTATTTCATTGTAATTTTGTTACATTTTGAAATGTCCTTGTAACATAAGATTTGTTTCTTTTGGTCTCTCATGCTTGTGGATCAGGCACCAGTGGGATAAATTTAAGTTAATTCACTATTTGGTTTATCATCGTTCTCCTTTGCCCGCAGACAGGTATGGGGTATTGCTTTGGTTGGACTGTGTCATGGGATGTACATCAGGCATGCCACCACCCCATGTTGTGTGCCATGCTACATACAACCCCTGACATACCGAGTCCATGCTACATACAACACCTGACACACACTGACCAACAATGCCCTGAGGTTGGTAGTGGCAAACATAAGAAGTCGGTGGTATTCCTGTAATCAGTTCGGACCAAGACTCCTTGGACGGCTAATCTTTTCTCCTATCGTGCATGGATCACTGTTGCATATAAAGAGAGAGGCTCAGTTGGGTATGTGCTGAGGCCCTCACTTGCACCTACTCTGCGTAATTGTAGTCAGGGCATAGTGCTGGGACCTTGTTTGTGGTCACTATGTCGTAACCACTTGTTTTTTTTAATAAGTAAAGATGTATTAGAAAGCGTTCAAAAGGGGAACGCAACCCAAAAGCTACACAAAAGACCAAGGCCAAGAGGGACCCTAAGGACCCAAAAAAATTAACTCTCTTCTATAGATTTACAATTTCTCCCCATAACTCAACAACTAAAAAGAGAGCTAATAATAAGAAACTTAACAGTCCCAATAGAAGATTCCTCTCCATCAATGGATCTTCTATTCCGCTCCTTCCGTAAGCACCACAAACACAAAAATGCGCCACCCTCCAATAATCACAAGCGTGGGAACCCACATGACACCCTCTCCAAGCATCAATCAAGTTTCTTGAAGATTGAGGCATGACCCCTGAACACCAAACAAGCCAAAGATAAGGACCCAACAGTCATAAGCTACAGGGCAATGCATAAGGAGGTGATCAACTGATCCCTCTTGCACATGCAACACCAATTGACAGTAACCCGTCTTCTCTTTCTCAGATTATCAAGCGTCAAGATCTTGCCCCAAACTGCTGTGCGCTTTTCAGGCTACACCTTCATTTGTGGGCTTGCTTTGTGGGTGCTTAACCACTGCTACAGAGCTCTGTGTTGTGTCCATCAGTGGCGGACTCTGGCAGTAGGCCAGGATAGAACTTTATTCCATGAATCAGTTAGTCGAAACTTGATTTCGGTCCTTCAGTCAGGCAGTTCATTGGCTGATGCTGCCGAAACATCAACTCAATTTGCATCTAATTTAGTTCTGGGCAGACTTAATTACATCTGTATGATGTCCAGAGTTTTATTAAGTTAAGGACAGGTCTGGTATTAACTATTGAAATCACATCAAAACACCCCAAACAGAATAACATGTCTGGTATCAACTATTGAAATCACACCCAAGCACATGAGTAACATAAATGTATGCATCTCCTGTGCCAGAGCTGTCCACCCTTTGTGATAGATGATTGACTATTTCATTCAAACTATTATAAAGTAGTTTGAACTAGTAAGAACCTGATGCAATGTTACTTTCTTTCATTTAGTTTTGTTTTAGATTAATAGTCCTTTACCGGATTCATCCATGCAACCCTCCTTTTACTCCAAAAACTATTTTTATAGGCACAAAGTTTTATTTATTTATTTATTATTATTATTATTTATATATTTATTTTTTACCTAAGTGGCACCAAGAAGATTGTTACAGTAATATTTCATTATTTAAGGGTGTCTACATCATGTGAAGATCATTTGTTTTTGATAAGTAAAGATGTATTAAAGAGCGTTCAAAAGGGGAATGCATCCAAGTACAACAAGCCAAACTTGAGAAAGAAAGAAATACAAAAGAATATAAACATAGGGATTAAGGACCCAGGGATCCTAAGAGATAAATCATCTCATCCAATGATGAACAACTTCCAACAACAACCACCCCCCCCCCCCCCCCCCCCCCCCCCCCCCCAAGCATAAAAGACAGCTAATGATACAGTATTTTAGCATTCCTATAGGAGATTCCTCCCCCTCAAAAGATCTACTATTACGTTCCTTCCAAATGCACCACCAATACAGTATTTTAGCATTCCTATAGGAGATTCCTCCCCCTCAAAAGATCTACTATTACGTTCCTTCCAAATGCACCACCAAACGCATAGTGGTA